ATATGTTTTAATACACAATGAAGTTTGTAAAATTTTTATTTTAACACGTATAACGAAACTTGTTTACTCTATTTATTGTGTTCGTAAATGTTCGTCAATAAAAGACATCACTATCAATTTTATATTTATAGATTAATTGGAAATATAAATCTGTTCATATTTAATATCTTATGCTCAGAATTAGCATGAAGCTTATTTAATTACAATTAGATAAGGCGACACAACACACGCCGTGTCTCCAGTCACGTATGGCCGTCGTGTTGGCCTGCTCTAATTCTGCAACGATTATATCACCTGAAGATAATAAACACGACTAGACTAGGGTTGCCAACTTAAGGTAAATGTAGACTTATACATGTGGTCCAAACCCCTGACTTCTGGGGTACCATACTCTCTTGTATTTTGTCCTTCACTATGATAAATTTTAAAGACGCTAAGAGCGTGTACACCCAATCACTATTATTGTTAGTCCTTTGTTACATTTTGTGAGAAACTATGATGTGACTTGTTGGTGCGAGTGTACTAACAATTGGTGTCACAGTTGTTATTTAAGTTTTTTAATACAAACGTCTCAGATCGTATCGGTGTCGACACGTGGCGTGGCCCAGTATTTTTATGAGGCTTGTGTTTGTTTACTTTGAACGCTCATTGTTTATCCTGATGTTATAATTTAAGGTTATTGATAATCTTTTTGGTAGACGACCTCGTTGATGTACAAAACAGTATAGTGTTGTTTTGAATGAATACATCAATGTGGTTGTTTTACCATAAAAATGTGTCACCACTTCGGTATAAATATTTTTTTATTCAAACCCGCTTTTCGTAAGCATACACAGTAATGTTTAAATAGCAATGCTTTGTCAAAAATTTGCGCTGTCTTTTAGAGTTATGGTATAATAGGGTTGACGTATGTTTAAGATACAATGTCTAATTCTTATTTATGGTAAGGCCCTTAGCAGTTGAGAATGGTAATTGGTGTATTGAATGTTGTTTGTACTTTACCTGTATGTTGTCGATATCAGGTCTCATCTCAATGTCAACGAAGTTCTTGAACCTGAGATAGTCTCCGCGGACACTTCTCACGTCAGGTAATCTGATAACGGCCACGGCTTTTGTAAATATTTGATACGCGCCATGTTTGTCGGGGAATCAATGAACTCACAAATATACTGAGATACGAGTAGCACTTGAGCAAAACGTGCCAGCAGACGAAGTCAAGTACTAATGTTTTCTTTTTTTTTTTTTATACGGAAAAAGAGTAGGCGGCAACTTGAATTTGCCGTAATAGCAAAGCGACAATTGTAGATGTGTTGCCCAATCAATGAGGGAGGGCACGCACGGATATTTCTCCTTACTAAACGTCCCCTCCGCCGTTACCTAGACCAACAAGATCGTCAGAAAAAAGCTAGACATTTTTATTGCTAAGTTAATTCATTTAACGATATTAGGTTTCTTCTATCAGACAATATTTAATTACAGGCTGATATTTCCGGCAATAAAAAGATAATAATGTCATTGTATATCCCTTGCTGTCAACTCGCAGTAAATCAAGTACGGTACAAACAATTTAGTATCGCATTCATTTAAAAGCAGTCAATAAATATTGTTTATTGTCATGTGTGATTGAGGATTGAATTAAAACTCTCGACGTGCGTGCCGCTTTGACTATTGAGAGACAGGACCCGTTGTGAGCCTTTTGCCCTCTGTAAAATTTTATAGTACATTAATCCTAAATTTGTTTGGTTTCTTGCTCGTTTTTGTGTACATAAAATTGTACTTAACTGTCAGCATATGTCATCTTTGCCCGATATGTCTCGCGACAAGTTGTAGAATTTGGTACAATAGCAGCTATTTGCCTAGTCCTGTTCTATATAGTCATAGCATGCCAGAACAATTGCTACAAGTTATACGAAAAGATTTGTTACCATTGTCACGCGTCGGCCGTCATTCATGCCACGATAGTATTTTTAGTTAATGACGCAAGGCTTTACGGTATGGGTAGGATTGTTGAAAACAACGCTTATTTGTATTAATAAAAATATTAAAACAAAATAAAATCTGCGATTACAATGTAAATATTAAATTTATTTTATTAATATTACGTTATTCTATTTCAAATATTTATTGAGAACAAAAAACTTTTTTTTATCTTATTTCTATGTGAACTAGACTAATTTGAAAATTAAGTATAATTTAAACAAAAAAAAACTAACTTCAAACCTGCGCAGGATTGAGGGTGTGTCAAATCTATTACGTAACGTGCGTTTAAGCTGATACTCTCTAATCCTCGGCTCACAAAAAACTCGGGATCCTGTCCAGGGGAAGGGAAAAGACCCGCGGGCGTGGAGGGGGGAGCCGCCACCACGCCGCCGAATAAATTATCCTTACAGGGTAGCCATCCTATATGGGCATTTGGAATGTTGTCTATTAATAGCTGGTCGGAATAAACCCTGGAGTTTAGTTATTTTATTTACTAGAATTAAGGAATATCTTATAACCACCTTAATTTAAATATAGTAATCAAAATAAATTTGTACTTGAAATTCTTTGAAAGTCATAGGCGTCTTAAGTTTCTTATTACACATTTTAAGTTTACTAGGTTTATCCTGAAACTTTTGTAGAAATATTGTCACCCGATTCGATTTTCGAAGCTTGTTCCTTATCGATGTAGTGGGATAATCCGCGGGGTCGAGATATCTGCGACCTTACGACTGACGCCTGGGGTCTGACCAAATGCCATTGCAGTCACGAACTCGAAAGTATCTACAGTCAAAGAATTCGTATTTCTTTCGTAAACTGTCGCCATAAGAACTATAACTTGCCAGATATGTATGTTGCTGTGATAATTTTCAACCTAATTGCATTGTGACGGTAAAACTCGCTGTAAAGGGTACGGATATAAGCGTTGTCGACTTTAATATTAGGGCGTTACTCTTTAATTAATCGATTCGTGCATCGATATTGCGAATCGAGTTGCTGACGCTGGCTCAAACTCGATTGTTACGACTTCCCCTTCACTAACAAGATTATGGCGATCGCTTCCGTGAATGTACACAATTACACTGAAACGGTTGCTGACTACCTAAGCTTTAATTTTATTAATGGATTCGTTCGTTTGTTATATAAAATCTACAAAACCATGATACTATGTACTTATTTTAATTGAAGAAGATGGAATGGTAGTAATGACATTTATTGACCATTGCAATTGTCATGAACATGCATTGTTTTATACTGACATTGAGTGCAGTGTATTTATTACAATAAACGTTTGTATAAGTTTGAAGACGTTGTTGCTTACATACTTAAATATATCTACATAGCAATGTCAAGTTTAAGTTAAAATCATCTATCTAAACAGCGATCAACTCGAACACATTAACAGAAACAGAAGGCGCGCGTCGCGTAGGCGTCCGCCCGCGCATCAAATACAGCGCGATGCAATACACATCAGTCTAATCTCAGGCCGTCGCTCTAAGCGATATCTTTATTACAAATCGATTTATACCATCAGTAGCAGGACTCGAATCGTTCTTATCCGATTATCGCTAATATATCGGTATATTGATAGTCGCTCGCCGAAACGAAAGCGCTGCACGACCGGCTGCTCCCGCCGCTCAACACCAGTTTATGAGAAAGTCGACTAGATACTTTGTCGCGGCCGTGATTTATATTCTTAACGATTCGCTCCGTTGAGCTTCCGATCCATATATTGTATCTCACGGGAAACAGTCGCACTCCGTTTGCGTCGATCGGCAATGTCACCCGGAAATAGTCGTAGCATTAAGTCGGCTCGCGACGCGCATTAGTCTAATAACTTCGATTATTTGCAAATCGCGGCCCCGTGCGTTGTTGAGAACAATGGCGTCCCGCGGGTGCACGAGGAATATATAAAGCCGGTTTATATCGGTGGCGAGGTGTGCCGCTTTGCGTTTGCATCTCGGCAGTCGGCGCGCCGGCCGGGTCCTTGAGATGCAAGATGCTTGCGCCGCTACCGTTACTCATTGCGGCAATTGGCCGGCCGCCGGCGACGCACGTCACCGACATATGGCCCGCCGATAGCTCGCTCAAAGACTTGTGTCCCGACCATATTGCCTCCGGCGAAAACTGAACCATTATATTATGTTTATAATTTGATGTAAGTTTCATCTCCCGCCGCTCTCTACATCGATAAGTTTCACCCCGGTGCTGACGATCGGAGGAAATAACAATAAACACAAAACGATATGGCGCTCGTAAAAGTATCTCATTAATAGCGTATCGATTAGCCGAGCGCCGCCGTAATGTTCCACTGGAAGCGTCTCTCCTAATAACGTGCGCCAGCGGCAGCGACCGGCCGGCGGCGGACGGCGGCGGACGGCGGCGGGCTGTGGCGATGTGCGCCGCCTATCATAAACTATAAAAAGACGCAGCTTCCGACTGACATCGACTTTGATCGTGTTGTAGGTAACGTCCGCCTCGCTAAATGGATTCCTTATTCGTCGCGCAAAATTTCCCAAAACTTTGGGTAATAATGATCTTGTTGTTTTAATTCCTTGTTTTTTATTACCCTCAAACTTTGACCCATCTCGTTTTGTAACTAAATTAAAAGGCGCTTTATTTATTTCGTAAGATCCTTCGTTGTTGCGAATGAATGAACGGTTGTTCTTGAGTTGAGCAACTGTAATATTGTTCATATTAAAATTGGCACTTTACGTTGTCAAGGGTTTTATCAAATAGTGGGTGCGACGATCTAATGTTTACGTGTTGTATAAACAAGCGGCGGGCATTATCGGCGGCGAGCGGCGAGCGGCGCGGCGTCAATGAATTGTGCGGCCGCAGCGCGCTCGTGTGGCCCGAATGCCGGCGCGCTGCCCGCTCCCCTCCCCCCGCCACCGTTTTATCTCGCACTCGCGCCATGTGGAGGCTGCAGCGGTGCATATGCATAGTGCACGCGCGGAGCGCGGGGCGGCAACGAGGGGCGGAGGGGAGGGGCGCGCGGGGACCTGCCCAGGGGGACGCCGCGCGAACTCATTCGTCTCGCAACCGTCGCTCCGGACGGGCGTGCGCTAACATTGTGATATCGTCTCCCGCGAGACGGCGTGCCTTGTGACCGACTGTGTACGATCTTCATAGTGTAAAAATAAAGCCGACGACAGACGGCGGTGTCGGTGCGAAGTTATATTTAAATGATAGCACGAACGCAAGGAAGATCTACCCTCGGACGCTCGCCGACATGAGACTAAGTACGAATCCTTATCCATAACTACGTAGTCGCTATCTAGATGCTGTCAGATAGGAGGTGGCTGCGGTGTTCCAGAGTGTTGTTTGTTTACGCGTTTATTTCCAGGCGTTTGTTGTTGTCAGTGTTCAGTGGCTGTGGCTCTGTGTCCCTCCGTGTACGAACGGATTTCGTTCAGTGCGAGGACGATGTAATGCACGTCTTGAATAATTCATCGCTTCCTGTCCTTGTAGTTTTACATATCCGAGGAATAGGTAAACGTTAAATAGTAGATAAGTGGCAGAGTGTTATGCGAGTAAGATTCCTTCTTACTGCCAATCGAATGCTAATCAGGTAAGGTGATTGTAGCTGTGGCAGGCAGCTATCTGGCGTGTTGTCTCCGCTCGCGACGCTAATGTGTTTGTTTGTAACCGCACACTCGCTCTCTAGTTACTTCCTGACGGCCAGCATTCGATTACCTTTGGTTTAGTTATTTTAAACCGTTTATACTTTTAATTACTTAAACTGGCTGTAAAATGATTATCAAATCAACTTTCTCCGTAGACAACTATCAGTATAAAATAACATGTTTCGGAAGGTGATTGAAACTAAGTATAAAATGTTAAATTGAATGATTTATTGGGAATCGTAGTGGAAATATACCTGTGGCTCTATTGTTGTATATCCCTTTGTGGTCCTGCAGGGGCACGTATTAAGTCTGAGGTCGCCGTACCTGTTGATTCGGGACCTTCAAAAAACTACACAATGCTTCGACTTAACGATATTTCGAGATATGTGTTTAACATAATGGCTAAACTGTTATATATCTATTTAACTTATATAGCGTTAAAACTTTTACAAATCGCTTAAAAGAATTTCATAAACTTTAAACTAGTATTATAAAAAGGAAAGATTTGTATTTTTGTATGTATCGAAATAACGCAAAAACTACTGGACCGATTTCAAAACTTGAGTAACATAGGCTGTATTTTTACGGTTTTTTTAATTCCACGCGGGCGTCGGGAGCATCAGCCAGTATTAAATATTTTATGATTATATTAAAAAGTTTTTATCAGCATTGTATATAAAATTGTGGCATATATAAAATGTAATTCCAATAGTATTACTATTTTGTAGAGTGAAATTCATTCATTGATTTTAGCTTGTTTTTTTTGCTTATTGATTGGTGATACCTAATTTATACGTTCAATTTTCATTATCTAATTCACTATCATTGATACGTAGTGATTTCAATTATTGCTAAAATTATATCTATCTAAGATTGTATGACAATAAGCTTGTACATCCTGTTTTAATGTAATATACACATATCTAATGGACATGTTATGCGACGAGACGATGGGCACATAAACCAGAAAGTGTTAAGAATGTTAGAGGAAGACCGAAGAAAGTATGTATGCGTTGTGTGAAAGAGGATATGATTAAGAAGAGAGTGGTTTCAGATATGATGGCTGATAGAGATGTAAGGAAGAGCAGCACATACTGTGCCGACTGTGAGTGTAAGGGATAAAGGCAAATGGATGATACACATATCTTTATTAATAATCTAAATTAGCTAGTTATTAAAAAATAAGGCATTTCAAGGCAGGAAGCAGGATATGAATCGATGGTAAAATTTGCTAGTTACTTTCAAATTTAGCTTATTGGCATACCTAGAGTAACAATAGATAGTTATTTTTAGTGTTAAATACAAATAAAGATATTCACATATACGTGTTTTTCGACCGGATTTTTTTACAAAGAAGTCGACCCACTAGAGGAAAACAGTTAAAAATTTTAACTGAACGAATATAGTTACATCTCTTTAGTGATCTTATAAGTAACTTTGGCCGAGTGAAATTAAAAATAATAAAAAGTAGCCTATGTCACTGATAACGTAGCTTTTTAATGGTGAAGGAATATTTGAAATAGGCCAAGTAATAGCGTTAAATACATGCAAATCTTTCCTCTTTTATATTAGTATAAATGAGATAGGTTACGAAGGGTCAATGTATTTACGTGATGTCTTGTCAACTAAATGTTCAATAAGTAAAATTCCACTCAATAATAATTAGCCTAATTTTTGTTACACTTAATAGTGATAAGATTAGAGGTGTTGTAAAACCAAAGTCTAATAATAATTACGATTATTACGATATCTATGAACGTATTATCGATTCCTTTCACTTGTTATTTATAAACTAAATTAAATTATTCCACGACTAATAATATCGAGCGATTGTAAATCACAAATCTCGTAAAAGTTTTATCGGAAATTGTCTTAATTTATTGTTTAATATCTTGCAAGTATCCTAATAGACTAGTCTGTAATATGTATTACTTATACTAGCTGTCGACTGCGACTCTGTCTGCGCGGAATTAAAAAAAATTACATATGGTCTATGCTCTACATCTATCGCTTTCATGATCCGTTCAGCCGTTTACGACTTCTTACAATAATCATATCAACTTACAATTATAATATTAGTATGATTACTGCCTATGAAAGGATACTATATGGAAACAATTTATTTCACCACTAGCTGAACTGTACGTTGACAAAGTTATAAAAAAAAAATTTTTACGGCCAACCAATTCCAATTTTCATTAAATACTTGACTTCTATTAGATGAAGAAACCTTTAAAAATAGTTTAAATATTCGGATACAATGTAATTGTTTAAATTCACACTCTGTCGACTACATAATCACACATACACACACCAAAAACAATTACTACCTAAATTATTACATTGATGATTGATTCCAGCACATATTCTCCTTTCCTTAATTATCTAAATTATTACAAGGAATGGGGGTTTTTTGATATCCACATGTCTGTAACTAAACCAAATCTAGTAATAACAGCCAAAATCCTACGAAGTTGGTTAAACTCTATTGAGGTGCAGTGTTGCAAATGCGATTACCCAGTAGGGGCTCGAGTGGAATGTTGCTTACTGACCGGTAATTGGATCTCCGAATTCCTTTCCTTCGGTAACAACCCATAAGTGACATCAATTTGTTGCTTTAGTTTATTCAATCTATGATAATCTTTACAACATTGTTTTAAGTTTATGTTACTGTGATCATCATTGCGTGGGTTTTATTTCGTTCTCGTCCATCTCTACTTGAAAGATATGTTGTTAAAGTTTAATCAAATGTTGGTTAGATGTTGATACTGTGTTTATTTTAATGCGTTTAAATAGTACTAGCTTTCGCCCGCGAATCCGTCCACGCAATATTAACATAAAAAGTAGCCTATAATATGCCCGTCTATGTCAGCTTCCCTTCAGTGAAAATCCGGTCGAAATCGGCCCAGCCCTTTTGGATATTACCCGGAACAAACGCGGCTTGCACACAGACAGACAAACAAAATGCGATTTACGTTATCAGCAACGCAAATATGTCTTCCCGAAAACTGGAATTATTATTTTGATATTACAAACATACACTACAATTTAATTATATTTATAGATAGAAGATTAAATTATAGTAATATGTACGTGTGACGTATTTGTTAGTTTATGTTTATCTGTCCGCTCTATTTGCACCGATGTATCAAGTGGCCTGCGCCGGTGTGCGTCACTGATTAGCGGCTAAATATTTTTGAGCGTCTCAGCGCTGACACTCTCCCGTGTTTACTGTTGTAGTGCTTGAAACCTTTGTTGGGAAGATCGTTGGATAAGAGTTCACATAAGTATGTAGCCTTAGGTTTCAGTCCTTAGCTATTAGTATTACTAATTATTTAACTAATAATCTTTACGATGTAAATTTTCGACTTAAAACTATAAATGTATAGAATTTACGTTAGACTATTAGTACTTGCTTAGTAAACATGATAGTTTTACATTGTAACGCGAGCGAAAGATGCAGTACGTACTAATGTATAAATTTAAATACGTCGTCAACGCCAGGTCACTTCATCGGGCAATAAACATCGCATTGCTGTCGCGGCTGGCATCTTAATTGCCGCTCAACAAACATCTCCGCACCTGAGATGCTGTCACTTATCTGTTGTCAACCTTGTTTCTTTGCCATACAAGATACAACAAGTTTACATTGCGCACTATATTATATTAAGAATATGAAGTTGTAAATTATGGACTGGTCCTATTGATGTACTCTATGGCCAGCGTTGTGACTAATGTGCTTTTCCGTGTTGCAGTTCGGGGCATAATGTGCGAGTGCGCGGGCGCGGGCGCCTGTCCGGGCGGCGCGGCCCGCGGCACGTGCGTCACGCAGCCCGGCGGCTACTGCTTTGCCACCGTGGAGGAGGTGCTCGACGACTCCGGCCGGCTCGACCTCGAGCGCACCGCCGGCTGCCTACCGCCGGACGAGTCTGGTTTCATGCAGGTTTGTGCTAATTACAAATATCTATACATAATAATTGAATTTGTAAATTACGTGAAGTGGTTACAACAATTGGTTTGTCGAGCAATCTGTGTTAACAAATGTTTCTTATGTTTTCCAGTGCAAAAGTTCACAAGTACCACACCAGCACCCGAAGGTGATCGACTGCTGCTCGGAGGCGGACATGTGCAACACGCGGCTGCAGCCCCAGCTGCCTGAGCCACCGCCCGATGTGACGGAGACGCCGGGCCTGCGCCCGCCCACGCCCGCCAGCCCAACGCTGCTGGTCGCCATCGCGCTCTGCGTCGCCCTCCTCGCCTTCATCGCCGCCTTCTTGCTGCTATTCCGGCGCCGGCGCCGCGGCTGCAAGCGCCCGCCCTCACCGCCCGCCGTCGCTCACTCCGCCGACATCTCCTCCGGCTCCGGCTCCGGCCTGCCGCTGCTCGTGCAGCGCACCGTCGCCAAACAGATACAGATGGTCGAATCCATCGGCAAGGGCCGCTACGGCGAGGTCTGGCTCGCGAGGTGGCGCGGAGAGAAGGTCGCCGTCAAGGTCTTCTTCACCACAGAGGAGGCCTCGTGGTTCCGGGAGACGGAGATCTACCAGACGGTGCTCATGAGACACGAGAACATCCTCGGCTTCATCGCCGCCGACATCAAGGGCACCGGCTCCTGGACGCAGATGCTACTAATCACCGACTACCACGAGAACGGCTCGCTGCACGACTACTTACAAACGGTCGTCCTCGACACGCACGCCCTACTCACCATGGCGTACTCGATCGTCAGCGGGCTGGCGCACCTTCACATGGACATATTCGGCACGAAGGGCAAGCCTGCCATCGCGCACCGCGACATAAAGAGCAAGAACATCCTGGTGAAGCGAAACGGGCAGTGCGCCATCGCGGACTTCGGGCTGGCGGTGCGGTACGTGGCGGAGCGCAACGAGGTCGACATCGCGCCCAACACGCGCGTCGGCACGCGCCGCTACATGGCGCCCGAGGTGCTCGACGAGAAGCTGGACGTGGCCAACTTCGAAGCCTTCAAGATGGCCGACATGTACTCGCTGGGACTAGTGCTGTGGGAGATGTGCCGGCGCTGCGCCACCGGCGACAAGGCACAGAACGTGGACGCGTACGCGCTGCCCTACCACGAGCACGTGCCGCCCGACCCGTCATTCGAGGACATGCACGCGGTGGTGGTGGCGCGCGGCGTGCGGCCCATCATCCCCGCGCGCTGGCTCGGCTCGGAGCCGCTGGCCGCGCTGGCCGCCGCCATGGCCGAGTGCTGGCACGCCAACCCGCCAGTGCGGCTCACGGCGCTGCGCGTCAAGAAGACGCTCGCCAAGTTCCACAACGAGCCCGTCGCCAAGCTCGTGTGACGCCGGCCCCCGCGGCCGCCTTCAAGCCGAGTTCCTCGATACGCACTATTTATTCTTTTGCGAGAGTTGAATCGCGTACAAAATTGGACCAGCAGCAGCCCGGAGCCCCAACGATGTGAAATTCCGTCTGACCACCGCTTTTGTTTAAATCTCAGTATTGTTAAGTTTACTCGGCGCAGCGCGAGGCCGCGGCGACGGCCGGCCGCCCCGCGCGCCTCCTTGGTTTTCTCGTTCCGATATATTTGTATGTATTTTATTTTATCTGTTACGTTAATTTAGTAGGTTTAAATATCTCGTCTTCCGTGTGTGTGTATGTGTGTGTACGTGTGTGTATGTGTGCGCCCGCCGCGACTTGTGATATGTATCGACAATAAGACTTTGCTTACAAATTTAATGTACAAATAAATTTTGAGTCGCTTCGCAGCGCGGAGATGTGGCGCTGCGCGGCGTTGCCCGGGGGGGCGGGGGCCGGCGCGCCGCTACCTCGCTACATTTACTTACAAACATTTGGCAGCTATTGTAATGGAATAAGTATTTGTTATTAATTTTATAAATGTTTGTTTAAACACATCTGTTTGAGTGTAACTTTTAATGGTTTTATACATTATTTGGTTGTCTAGACATATTTTCTATGATTAGGCTTCATGTCAGTGAGTGATACTCATATTTTTCATTCAAACTGTCGATATATTTGTTTCGTAAGTTCCTTTATTTCGTACTACGTTAAAAGAACCATCGCCTCGACTCTCGACGTTATTCATCAGTGAATTGTACTTAAGTGTGTAAAAATGTGTCGCGCGGCGTCGCTCGCGGACCCGCTCTTAGCCCCTGCTTACACCAATATTATGATGGTATGAAGCTGTAAAAAGTAATACAAATATTTTTAATTTTGACCATAGACACTTGCCCCATGGAGCAGCTATTTTTATTAATGTTTTATTGTAAGTTGTAAATAGATTATGCAAATATGATTTGCAACATCTCAAGACTGTTTATGACGAGCTGCGAATGTAGGCTCTTATTGGTTTTGACGAACATAAAAAAATCTTCAAAGACTTATTATTTGAAATACAATGTCCTTTTTCAAGTGCTTTATATTCCATTATAAAAAAAGTATGAGTACAGATTGTTTATTGTTAAGCTTTATTTCCACTGACGAATCATTGGCATAAATTTTTTTATCATACATTCTTTGTAAAGAAATCAGAGACGAACGCAACGAACCAATTTGATCATATTATGATGTGAATTTCAGCAGTGTTCTAAGGTTGTTTTTTTTTTACAAAACCTTGTTATGTGGTGTTTGAGAGCGGGCGTCGCGGCAGCATTTAGAGGCGGCTGCGCTTGTATTGTACATTGTCTTGTAAATATAGAGGTTAGTTGTATGCGTACAGTCGCGCGCAGTCGCACGAGTGTCTTATAGTGTTAATGTATCGCGACTGTGCGCGCGACTGTACGCGATAAGTTACGGATTAAATAAAATATTAATGGACATATACAAAGTTTTTTATTTAACTATTTCCCAGTAAAGTAACAATAATTAAATGAAGCCATGCACACAACTCGAAAAGTATTTAATAATTAGTTCTAAACAAAGATAATTTAAATTACTTCGACCAAATTACTTTTTTATATAATTGCATAAGTAATTTAAAATAAGACATTTAACATTTCACCAAAATGCCACAGAATTCGATTTACGTGTTTGAAGTCTAAATCGACTCATTCAATATGAACAATGTTGTCCTATAATTAATCGTATTTACTTCGATTTCAACAAAGCCGGGGGTTTGCATTAAACAGTATTATTCAGAGCTGACAACACAACGCAACTCTAGATTTTGATAAAAACAAATTAATGTTAACTTATGGACCCGTAGTTAAGCTCTAAGTTAAATTAGAAAATACTATTTTATGCCAACATTGTTCGCCAAATTAAAATTAGAACAGAGATTGAAATCTTTTGAATTATACTAAGTAAAAACCTTGACCTGCAGTTGCAAAAACATGTTTCTTGGTTTTGATGTTTTTTCGAGTTTTCGAGCCCCCTGATGATTTAATGACACAGGTGTTTCACAAAAAGATGTAGTTTGACAAATGGAACTTATGGTTTCAATATGAATAACTGTTTAAAGTATTAAGCAACCTTTAGAGCCCTCTAGCGCTTAAACGAAGCAACTTCGGATAGAGGTTGGGTTAGTCATGTAAAGGAATCTGTGAAAGCTCGTTGTACGAGTATACATCTTTCTTGGACACTTGTGTATTTTATGAATATCTTTGTAAATTCCACTTTTTCTGTCATAACCAAAGAGATTTGAAAACCTAATAGTAAGCTTACTTTGAATACTTAATTCTGCCAGATTCCTTTGAAGTCATCTGTTCATTTCTATTTCTTTGAAACAAGTTCCTAATTGCACGTTTTTGAAAAGCTAAGAAATTGGTATATCGCCTAACAATAATTCGAATCAATGACCCTGTACATTTTCAGAATCTCTTAGACATTGGTATTTCATTTAACTCAGGATTTGTATTCAATAAAAGGCAAGTTATACTTAAAATGAGATTTATTTTATTTATTTACATTCCTTGACATTAGCAGTCTATTCAACCATACAATTAATTCTATATTAGATTGCATATAAGTCACTCGCAGTCATCCTTACAAATTATTGTCCAAACATCTCAATGATACAGGGGACAGTCAAATGCCATCACACAATGACCACTTTCGTTAGTAAGGCGCGTACCTTCGGGAAGGGGAGGGACCTCGCAGCCCTGGTCTGTGGACGATACAAACAAAAAATTAATGGATGGATGTTATGCATCTCCACAATAGGTTAACAGAACTTGAATATATTTCACACAGAATAGAATAAACCTAGAATATATAAGCTACTTACTAAGCTTTTTTAATTCCGCGTCGAAGGCAAAAGCTTACATAATTACATTGAACAATAATTGACAGATTTAATCTAAAGCAACATAAAGATTTGTATTTTTGTATGTATTGAAATAACTCAAAAACTACTGGGCTGATTTCAAGAAATCTTTCACCATTAAAAAGCTAAATTATCAATGAGTGATATTGGATGTCTTTTTGAAGTTGCAAGCTAGTTTATTTAGCAAACTACAGGAATCCAGTTTCAATTGCACAATACAGAATGAGATTGTCCAATTAAAATATAAGCAAAATGTTTATTTTGCCTACATATGTTACAGAAGAATTCAGCTAAAACTATGCTGACAATTCTGAAGGTGTGATCAACCATTATGCATCAAAATATATTAGTAAATTAACAGATGTCGCTCGCAACTTCATTCAATTTTAAAAAAATAACCTGTTACTCAGACTTAACATAGGATTTTAATGGTTTCAGTTATATCAACACATACAAATACACAAATTTATTCTTCATAAGTATAGATGTATGTGTTGAAGTAATTTATTTAACTTAAATATACTATGATAAGAAAATGTTACATTTACCTTCTGTCATCAAATGTGTCTCTGCTGAAATCTTCGTACATTCTGAAAAACAAAGACAATCAAGTTAGAGAACATCGGCTTCAGAGAACAGAGCATAGAGTATCAAATTACAAGGCATTGTAAAAATAGAAACAACAACTTTGCACTGTAGGGACAGCTTGCTCGGTGGAATACAACCTCTCAGAAGACAGATACCAGAGCCCTTCTTTTGTCACCCTTTTGATATGGAAATTAGCAGTGAAAGTGAATTAGACAGTTGAGGAACAACAGGAAGTGGATATATCCTCTTTGTGTCTCTTCCTCTGTCAATTAAGGGTAGGCAACATACCTGCGTATATACCGTACCATAATAGTGTTGGTGGCTAAGTGGTTTAAGCGCTTGACTTATAATCTACAGGTCTTGGGTTCGAATCCCGCCATGTACCAATGCGATTTTAGATTTTTAGAATTTTCATATGTACATAGTTTACCCGACGTTCTTACTGTGAAGGAAAACATCGTGAAGAAACCCACACATATAGGCAATATGATGAATTCAAAGATATGTGTGAAGTCAACCAACCCACACTTGGCCAGCGTGGTTGACTTTGACCTAGTCACCCCTTGCTTATGGTAGACTCCATGCCCCTTGGTGGGGACGTACAGTGAGCTGGTGATGAACATACCTGCAAGTGCAGATGTCTGCACAGCAGTTGCTTTGCCATTCAGCGGGCCACTTGACCATTTGCCACCTAATGATATTAAAAATTAAAACAATTTAAATGATTCTTACCCTCGGGACATCTGTGGCCCTCTCGGTGGACTTCTGCGGCTGAACATAGTGTCATATGAGGACCTCATTGATCCCATGCTGCTACGCAGTGGTGGCAAGCTGGGCATGGGCGGCATTGGCTCTCGGCGTAGTGGCGGTGACACAAAGTCC